CGATAAGTCATGGCAACGGCCGGATTTTAGTGGGCTTTTGACGGATTTTGGCTATATTTATTCAAAGGAGGCTTTTGCGTGTATCTTTACAGAAGCAGCAAAGAGAGCCGCTTCAGAAACGTGCATGGCTGGAATAAACCATAGACTGTATAAAAATATAAACACAAGCACTGAGTGGCCGCAGTCAGATTCAGTGACCATATCAGACCCACACTGCACCGCAGATGTGTGCAGTGTAAATTGTCTAAGCATTAATGGTACAGAAAGCCCCTTACACTGGAGCGCGGCCACGTATGAAGTGTTTCTTGGAGGTTATAGTACATTGAAGAATGATCATATGACTTTTTACATACGCCATGTGACCTGTAAATGCGAAAAAGCCGTTTCCATTGCAGTTTTGCGAATTATTCCTTTTTCGCATTGCCTGAAAAACCACCTCATGCGAGCGTAAAAACTTTTTTGCGATATATGGGCGTTTTTGCGAAATTGACGCGTTTCCATTAGGCGTATTTTCAATTCGCAATTTCAATTTGCGCAATTTGAAGGGTAATGGAAACGCGCCTACTGTCTATCTATCTCTCTGTCTATCTCTCGGTCTATCTATCTCTCTGTCTGTCTGTCTATCTCTCTGTCTGTCATTTGTAACATGTAGATTGATGTTGATAATTAGATTTATGTAAATATTTATATACTTTTTTCAAAATTATATATATTTAATTCTGGAATTTATAGTACAAATACATGTAGAAGAGTACTGAGTGTGAACCATCAGGCATTGGTTTTGGCCTGCCTCCACGGCTGATCCAGTTGTTACACATTCAAGGTCGTTTGACTGAGGTCTGGTGTAACATGAGAGCAGCATCTCTATCTGGCAGAAAGCTCTCTGCTCTTCCCCTGCAGCCCATCCATCCTGCATAACACTCCATCTACACACAACACTCTTCTCTTCTGCATGGCAATAAAGAATAGCTGGGATGCTCAATATAGGACACATTTTAAAAATGCATGACCTTTAATGACTGTTCATTTATATCTTTATTGCTTTCTTCCCCTGTGGATTGTGATAATTCTGTGGATTCTCAAAGCACCGCGTAATGTACGTCATCCCAGTTCAGAAGCAGAAAATGACTTTATTTCAAAGGCAAGTCGTTTATCGCCTTTTCATGTAAACGACATGAGATAAATGACTACAGTTCTCATGAAAAAGACATGTATGTTATGTTAGCGCATTCAGAATGCTATCTCATGAGGGAAAGCTTTCTTTGCCAACAAAAGCCTTGTTTTTCTTACATACCTGGCTTTGAATCAGGCTAAGATGCAACAGGGCTGTCCTGTTTGGGCAAATTCTCTGTAATAATGCTTAGCTCTCCAACAAATCTATCACTTCAGACGTTTAGGCCAATCGAAATCTGAGCTTGGTGCAGGTTGTACGGAGGGATTGGCTGGCTTGTTGCTAAGTCAAAGTGCAGTAACTCATTGGAGGGACAGGGCATTCCCACACTGCTGAATAGAGCACGCACCCCGTTAAGCAGAGACACATACACAAGGCAGACAAGCGTGTCGCAGCTTGTTGAAATATCATGGGAAATTGCACAAGTGCACCTGCAACAGGCTCCCTGGATATGCATGAGCAGAATGTTTTGTGCAATCAAAAACATAGAAAAAGACACTACAAACTAGAATCAGTTCAGCGTAATGAGAAATAAGAGTGTTTGTTATGCATGAGTATTTGTAAGTGATTTAACTTTGTACATTGTGGATAGTGCATTTTGTTTTTTTTTACAAAATAAGGTCTGGGACCTCCAGGGGGCCACAAGGTGTTCCATGGGGGGTTAAATAAGTTTAAAACGTACTGAATTTGGCATTGTTGTTGTTTTCTAAAGACTGGTTATAAATCATGCCATTAATTGGGATTGTATTATTAAAGGGGTCATATGATGCGATTTAAATTTTTACTTTCTCTTTGGAGTGTTACAAGCTCTTGGTGCATAAAGAAGATCTGTAAAGTTGCAAAGACTAAAGTCTCAAATCCAAAGAGATATTCTTTATAAAAGTTGAGAGTCAACCACGCCTACCTAAAACAGCTCGTTCTAACACGCCGAGGAGAAACAATAATGTACAGTATGTGGAAAATAATGTTTTTTTTTTACTTTAAACCACATAAACACATTTCATTACACAAAATACACAAAATAATGTTCTTTTTAGCAACATCATATGACCCCTTTAATACAAAATAATAAAAACAAATCAAATATATTGGTAAAAAAAATAGTCGTTTTAGCACTTTTACTTTGCATTCAAGAATTAACAAAAATATTTATAATGTAAATATTTATATTCACAAATAAAATTCACATATATACATATATATATATATATATATATATATACACTGTATATACATACATGTATATTAAATATATTTGATGTATACAGCAACAATATTACTGTGAAATATTGCAATAAAATAGTTTTCTATTTTAATATATTTTAAAATGTAATTTATTCCTGTGATTACAAAGCTGAATTTTCAGCATCATTACTCCAGTCCTCAGTGTCACATGATCCTTCAGAAATCATTCTAATATGCTAATTAAGACATATTTATTATAATCATCTATGTTGACATTTTTGTGGAGACCGTGATACACATTCAAAAGTTTGGGGGGAAAAACAAATCGAATTAATATTTTTATTCAACAGGGTCGCAATAAGGTTGAAAAAGAGGCTAATCTAAATATTTATAAATATATTTAAGTTTATTTTCCTCAATAAATTTAAGGACAATTTATTAAACCGATCAAAATTACATTTTAAAATACAAATAGAAAATAATTTATCTTTTTGAAATATATTTTTTTGTTTTACTGTATTTTTGATTAAATAAATGCAGCCTTGGTGAGAATAAGAGACTTTTTTCAAAAACATCTTAATTATTCCAAAGTTTTGAGCGGTAAAAAACTTTTTTTTTTTAAAATTCTTTACAGATTAAAATATATGGCTGCTTTTATATTTTAATTTTTTTAAATAATCATTATATTTTGGCATCAAAAAAAAAAAAAAAAGAAAAAGGAAAATAGCTGGTTTAGGATCAAAGTTCTCACAATTGTTCCAAGCCTGAAATACCTAAAAATGCCCTCTGCTGTGCTAGTAGTGTAACTACAGCTAAAGACACTTAAATTACACATTTCTTTGCATTCAAGCCTGATTTAAAAATGCAGAAAGGGTGAATATCAGTATATTTCAAAATGAAAGAAAAAAAAGAAAAAGAAAAAACAGAAAAACGTTTCAGAATTCAAAAGTGTTTATTTAGTTTGACCAGGTTCTAGCATTACCATCATATACATTTTCCCCAGTCGTAACTTGCAATTACATATATAATATACTATGTGAATACACAAATTGTAAGCATAAAAAAATACAAATACAAAAACATGTTATAGGATAATAATAAGTATAGGAACAGCAGTGACAAAGTGGAGCAAAAGACAATTCAGTCTGCTTTTGCCCGTTTTCAAAATACATTTTGCAGATTGCACGCTTTAAATGGAGAGAGAAAAAAATCTGAGGTGAGATACCAGCCTCAGAGAAGAAGAAAAAAAAAAACGAACTCACCTGGGCCCAAGAAACAAGTTTAAGTAAACGGGCAACTGAAATGTAGACCGTGGCTGACAAAGTCCAGCAGACATAAAGGAGAAGTGAAATCGGTGCATCAATGTGCGCATCCTACTTTCTCCACCAAGATTTTGGAGGCAGGACGTAAAAAAAAAAGCGAGTTTAAGGGCTGCAGCGCCCTACACAGTGATGACCATCACTCTCCAGTGTCACGGCCTGGACGATGGGTGTTTTCAGTGTGCTGTCTGGAGCCTCGGAGGCCATAACAGAGGCACGTTTCACCACGAGACACTGACTCAGTGAGCAAGCAACTTAACACTCCACCGAGACGAATCCAAACCTCCTCTCTAGCTGCGAAGACACAAGGTTGACGTTAACTAACTAGGTAACAGAGAGGATATGTAAACATACAGGTCTTGAAACCAAACTAGAATGTGGTGTCACATAGTCAAGGTAAGTAAACGTGTAGTATTATTGTTTATAAAACACTAGCCATGTAAACCTCGCCTCGATCAGGCAATATTAAGAGATCGGATGAATCTCTGCAAAAAATTATAGCTTGTATACCACTAGTAAAAGCCCTTTGTGTGTGTGTGTGAGAGGATTAGGAAAAATGACATGCACTGAATATGATGCTCTTTAGTCTATATACACGATGTCAAATAGATATGCTTGAAGCCTAGCAAAGGGATGCGTTATTTCCCTGACCACAATTCCAAATGAAATTCAGATCGTGTGTAGGTTCATTAAAGGCAACATTGTCGAAATGTTTTTAAATAAACTACAGGATTATGTATATTTGGAATCAACTTTCAAAAAGTTGAACCGAAGCAAATCAAGAACTGCAGTGTTAAACTATGTAGATGTTAATTTTTTTCACTCTTCTAGAAGTGCCCGTTCTGTCTCCATCGCTTACCAAAGTGTCAACAAAATAAGCCCTACGACGCCACTAATTAACAGTCGCCGTCATGTAAATAAAGCGTTGTTCGAAACGGTATTGCCAAAACAAATCAGCTTCGCCTTAATTCTCCAATTAAACCAAATCTAGCTCTGTCACAAAGTCAACAGTGTTAGGTGTTTTTCACCCCCTAAAACGTTTAAAATAGTTCCAGTTTATCCAAAATCCAAGTGGAATGAATGTGGGGATGGAAGACAAACTTGTTCTGTTCTGTTCCGTTTTCAACCAACTCAAGGCAGCAACAGTAAAACCTCACAAAACGTGAGGAAACTTTGAGGCAAACTGTTACGGATGTTCTTTCACCCTTCTGGTATAAAAACTAACACTATGCGAGTCAAAAAAATCTAATCAAATCATAATCCCATCTGTTCTTACAAACACGCTAAAACAAAAATGCTTGCTATAAAAATCCACCGTCCCTCACCGGTCAACGTTACATACAATCCACCTTAATAATGTAATCTTCTTTTACTTTTTTTTTTTTTTAAAAACTCCACTCTCTTAATTATAATTTTAAACAACGAGGTTTAACTCTCTGGCATAATATACAGTTTTAAGTTTTTTTTTGCCCATTTTAACTAAATTGCTCACTGGTCCACAAATGACATGATAAACATATTTTGTGAAAGTCGATAAGAGACCCTGAGTAGACATGATTGGACCAGGCGTGATTGAGGCCCTTTTTGCTCAGCTTACTAATGACATGCATATTCCTACCTTTCAAACCAAACGATTCAGATAGATCCGCCGATGTCAAGAAACAACAGTCCGGTGTAACTGTGCAGGCACAAACAAGTGTCAATTAATCTAAAACAAAACAGAACATCCATTCCAAATAGGTTGTCATTCCGCTTGACAATTCTCTCTCGATGTGATATGGTGCGTGTTGTTTTGCCCGGCAACTGCAGGACCAGAGGATATAAAACACAGTTGTTTCACATTCGAGAGCCTTGTTCTTGAAGAATCTGCAAGAGAGGAACAACTGTTAATGGATGGATTGGATGATGAAAGTGAGCATGTCTAAATAAAACAGGGAAAGACATTAAATATTCAATATATGATTTAAAATCCATCACAAAAATAAGGGACAGCTCACTTCCAACAGTGAATTCACTTAAATGTTGACAGAAACACCTCCATTATGTTTTACATATAATTTCTGAAAACACTTTAAAAAGTGTAAATATATGGCTGTACATCACTATGCACGGTTTAAAAATATAAATAATAAATCTTTAAAAAGCATTCATTTAAATATTAAAATGAACAAACATTTAAATAAACAAAATATAATGAAATGTATATAAAATACTTTTTTTGTTTTAAGTGTCATGATAACCATTATAATTTCTATTCATTTTTAAATTAGTTTTTATATTTTCTGTTTTAATTTTAATTCAAGTTCAAGTTTTAGACATTTATTTGAATTTATTTTTTTTAAATGTCTATATAGCTTTTATTCATTTTATTTATGTTTTATAGTTATTTTAGTAGATCAAGTTAACCAAAACAAAATTTAAAAAGTAATTATGCCAAATGGTTTCAGATGATTTAAACGTTTTAGTTAACTATAATAAACCTAAATCAAAAATATTCAATACAAACTAAATATTATAGTGAACTAAAAAGTGTGGTAAAAAAAAAAAAACCTTTGGCATGGTAAAGAAGAATCAAACATCTTTGATTTAGGTTTATTATTTGGCATCATTACTTTTAAAAAGTAATTGTTGTAAACTTTTAATAAAACAAATTCTAACACAATTAAAAACACAACATGTCTTAATATATATTGAATTAAATTAAATCTCTTTATGTTGTAAGAAACAGCGTGGAAAAGAAGCCTTGAAGAATTTTACTACTGTGTTTTACTTATGGCTGTAAACATTTTTGGCTAATGGCAGTTTGATCGAAAAAGAAAATGTAACATTAAGGCATTGCAGAGCATATTAATATCAAAAAGTACACTAAACATCTTTAAAAATCTGAAAACTTTTCCCCATAATCACCCAGCCCTAAACGTAAGGCCTTTGCTTATTTGTACAAGCGATTGTGTGGCCCTCACAGGAAGCGTACAACAATGCCTTGGTGATACCATCCCAACATGTTTATTACTTTGCATAACCCCTGTTGACCTGATACAGCATTACACTATCACAAAACTACTGAAACAGAGCTGAATGAAGCCATAGATGATTCTCAGAAGCGAAACTTGTGGCTGCAGCATCTGATGGGGAAGCATTAAATATTGAGCAGGTTTCCCATCATTATCTGGGATCAGAAAGCGGGCTAGATGAGCTGAGGATATAATTGTAGGGCTTTCTAATAGGCACGAGTACAGGCAGACAGCATGCGTCAAATTGAGCATTAGCAACAGAGATTCAGAGAGGGAGGGAGCGAGCGAGCGCCACTGCCTTCAGCATTCAGCAGAGACCTAATTATCAGCTTAAGTGATATGTAAATGATGCCTCACCAAGAAATACTAAAAAAAAAAAAAAAAAACTTCCACATCCTCAGTGTGCACGGCATGCATGGAAAAAAAACACTCAGGCATGAACACATTTGATCTGGTTAATCAGCTCTTTGAGTACTGTTATGCCATGTGACCATCCGAAAGAGCAGAGCTGTGGGATATTTTCTTACGATATGTGCGTAAGTGACTATTTCTGTCCGGGCACGAGGGAAGAGCGCACCGGAGACTGTGAAAGGGTTCTGTCAGCCTCACCTTGGCCTTTTCACTGGGCTCGCTGTTTGTGCCGTATGACTGATTGTGCAGCTCCTTGGAGACCACGCAGAGGAACTCTGCTTGATCCTCATTTCCGTAGTTGTACGAAGAGCCGATACTAACCAACTGGCAGGAGAGAGGAAAGAAAAACACATGACGACAGGATTTCCATAGTGAACCGATTTGACTACATAAGCTATAAATACAAAATACACTTCCTTGCGATATATTGTTGTTGCTGGTAATAGTGTATAAAAGAGTACATGTAAAAAGCAGAACCCAATCATGGGATGCTTTACATCAACAAAGTCCACAGAGAACAATTTGAAAAAAATATAACAAATGTCCAGGTCATATTTTACCACAAACTCAAAAGATTTTAAAAAAATGCAAATAATGTTTTGCTTTTAGAGCTTTTTTTTTTTTTTGGCACTAGTGACATTAATTTTGTGGTGATGAAATTACTGTAATGGAAATTTGTTTTTAAATTGCACTGTAAATATTTCTACGTCATGGTAATATTACTGAATTTTATTTATTTATTTTATTCATTAAAATAAAAAATAGAATATTTTTTAATTATTAGAAAAAAATTGGCTAAAGAAAATTCTAATTATTTTAGGATTTTTCTTTTTTTTTTGCATTAAAGTAATAAATATATATATATA